CACAGACAGCTGGAAAGAGTTTAGATTTTTAAGAAGTTTAGGTTTTGAAAACTAAAGCCTAGAAACTTGTTAGAAATGCAGAACCTTACACCTCATCTCAGATTTGCTGAATTGAGTTTGGAGTGGGTTAGGTGAGGTTGAAAGCAGTTTCCTTTTATCAAGCTTTCCAGATGATTCTCATGCCTGCTGACGTTTGAGAATCACTGCTGTAACTAGTTTTCCATTTTTTTCTTTACTGTGGTTCACAGAAATAGTTTATATCACCATTCATGTATTTATACATACATTGAAAGGTTTATGAAAATATTATATCCTGTGCAGTCTTATGTTTATGTTCTCTTATATATCCTTTTTTTAAATGGCTGGGGACCAAAATATCAAAAAGGTATTATAGGTAATTGTTAAGATTTGAGTATGGACTCTAGAAAATTATGTCAGTGTTAAATTTCTAGATGTTAGAAACTGTACTGTGACTATGCAAGATAATTCCCTCTTAGGAAAGACATACTGACAAACCTACAAGTAAGGGATGCAATCTCTCTAGTGTGCCACACACAGATAGCAAATGAGACAAGGGCTGGGACGTAGCTCAGTGGTTCCACGGTCTGTCTCGCAAACACAAACCCAAGGACCCAAGTTCCATCCCCGGTACCTCCCCCCCCCCGCCAAAAAAAAGAGAGAGACAAAATGTAAACTATGGGTTGAGTTTGATCTGGGTTAGAGGTACACAGAAAACTCTTGTACTGTTTTTACAACTTTTCTGATATCCACACGTGAGTATCTGAAAAATACTAGTGTAATCTACATGGTATATTTTAAAGTCAAAGCCTACATATTGTATCCTATCAGAGTATTTAATGTCTGCTATGTGAAGTATACTCAGTACCTATTCGCTGCTGACTGCCAATATTACTATTAATGTACTATGTATTTTTCCTAGCACTCTTGCTTACAGTTTTATTTCTAGTCACTGTTATTACATTTGTTTATATTAAGTAGGTTGAAGATACACAACTTTATCTTTTTTATACTATTGCCCAGTTGGGGGAGTTTTTAAAGGGTGGAAAGAAGAAGGCAGGCAGTGAATGGATTTGAAGGAACATGGGTTTTAATGCACGTTTCTTCCCTCCCTGATTGTGTGTTGCTTTGGGCAGGTACTGTATATGTGCAGCAGGGCATTCCCTTTGATTTTATGGGACTATTAGAGTTAAATGAGAAAACATTATGTCCAAGAACCAGCCCCAAGATGGAAGCGCTGTTTGGTGCCTGATAAACACTGGTGTACTTTTCCTCGCTCAGTTCTTCAGACTCAGTTGCTGCTGGTTGATTAGGACCTCAGGGACCAACAGCAGGCTTAGTTCTCTATGCCCCTGAAGCAGACAGCTATGTTATTTTATACATTAGTGATATGATGTGGTAAGAAAGACAATTTTGTGGCATACAGGTTCTACTTTCTAAAATGATTTTGCCATCGCCTAAATTCCATTGGAGGTACACTATTAATAGAATTAATAAGGAATGTAATTTAGAAAAACTAATACTTGGAAAGGGTCACAAGTAATGGTCTTTTCCCTAATTATTTAAATATTTCCTAAGTCTCCCCTTTGTGGTTTTTTGTTTTGGTTGGTTTTTGTGAAAATGTGTATTTTCTGTTTAATAGTGCAGGATATTCAAAGAACACTTTAGGAGGAACACTTTCTGTGAAAGACGTAAGTTATGTTTTTTATATTTTAATGTAATTTTCTCACTGTTGACAAAGCACAATAATATTTTGTGGGAATCCCAGAGTTGTGGAGACTTCTTGGTGAGCTCAGTGATTTATTGTAATAAAAAAATATATTCCTTTTCTTCCCACTTTTTCCAGTATAATGGAGAAAATGACTTTTGTTAACATTTCAGATTTTTTTTTCCTGACACTAGGCTTATTTTATTTCCATTAAAATAATTAACATGTAGAAATTGAGTAATTTCTAAATTTTGCCATTTAAAAAATATAGCAATTTATCTATTATAGTTTTAAAAATTCTTTGTGAATTACTCCGTAATATGTAATAACTATGAATCAGTCATAGTTATGAATTACTTTTGTTTTTCTTTAGAAGAGAGTCTTTAAGTAAATGTATGTTAAATACTTTTTTTTTTATGGTGGTGATTCTGGAGATTGAACCCCTAACATTGTGCATGTTAGGCCAATGCTCTGCTGTTAGGCTTCCTTTCTTTCTTCCTCCCTCCCTCCCTAGTTGAAATAAAATAAAAATGTCTCATGGCCTATAAAAATGATATGAACTTAAATTTCGGTGCACATGAGTAAAGTTTTATTAGAATACAGCCATGTTTATGCATTGCAGCATTGATATTATCTACTTTCACACCAGTGGCAGAGGTAAGTAGTCAAAACTGAAGCCTAATGATCTGCAAAACCTATAATATTTTTTCTTTGGTCCTTTATAGGTTTGTTAACCCCTGCCTTAGCTTAGTAAATGAGTCTATGTCTGTAAAATTACTTCTTGAGATGGAGGTGATAGCAGCAGTATCCTTGCTGAATAAATCAGCTTTGAGGTGTTCTTTGTTAGTGCTGGTTCACTGACTTGGATTTTATTCGCTTTTAGAAATCTAGTCAAAAGCACCATCCTCCTGATGTGTTTGACTTTACTGACCATTCAGTGAACTCGAGCAGGCTGAGTGAAAATGAGAAAGACGAAGAACCTTATGAAACCTTTGGTTAGTATTTTAAATCTTTACCTTAAAATGTCTTGAAAGCAACACTATTTAAGCTAGATATAATAAAAATATTGGAGTAGCTTCAAATATAAAAATTAATTGTTTGGGGCTGGGGATTTAGCTCAGTGGTTCTGCTGCCTGCCTCGTGAGCACAAGGACCCGAGTTCGATCCCTGGTACCAAATTAAAAAAAAAAGTCTAAAATTAGTTGTCTGTGTATAAATATAATATTCTAATTTTTGTCTGTGACTCTGACTAGGTACTTTGTATAAGAGGAATTATACAATATTTTTCTTTTTGTAACTGATGAATTTCATATCATATATTCTCTTCAGGGTTCATTCATGTTGTAACATGTGTCAGAATTGCTTTTTTTAATGTGTCTGCACACACATATGACATACTTTGTTTATCTATCCATTCGTCTGCCAGTGGCCATTTGGATTGTTGTACCTTTTGACAGTTCTGGATAATGCTGCTGTTAAAATGGATATGTGTGTGGAGTACAGGCACATCTTTGAGTCCACGCTTTTTCAACTCTCTTGGGTATATATCCAGAAGTGGAATTACTGCCTTATGTGATAATTTCAGGTTTAATTTTTTGAGGACTCACCATGTTATTTTACCAGCTGTACCATTTTATATTCTACCAGCAATGCATATGGTTCCAGTTTCCTCACCTGTGCTTGTTGTTGTTGTTTTTTTCCTGATAATAGCTGTCCCAAGGGATGTGAAGTATATTTAATGGTTTAGATTTGCATTTCTTTTTTTTTTTTTGGTACCAGGGATTGAACTCGGGTCCTTGCACTTGCAAGGCAGGCCACCGAACCGCTGAGCTAAATCCCCAGCCCAAGATTTTCATTTCACTAATGACTAATGATGTTGAGCATCTTTTCATTGTGCTTATTGGCCAGTTGTATATATTCGCCGAAGAATTGTCTATTTCAACCCTATGCCCATTTTCAAATTGTATTACTTTGTTATTTTATTAAGTTGTAAGAACCAGCCTGTATGACTGGTCACACATGGTAAGTCAGGATAAGTCTACTTCTCTTTCCTGTTGCAGCTAAGGAGAAAATAAATCCCTTTGCTTAGTTGAGCACGATACATAGTATGTTACTAACTTTAAAATTGTGAGGTGGATATATGTTAGTAATTAAATAGCTGTTTATCTGGGAAAAAAATGTTTGAATGTGTGCCATTGTGCTAAAATTTGAGATGCTTGAAGAAATAGCTGCTTGGCTCTTACTGGCCACCTCCTCTACCCCGCCCCTCCCAGCTCTTCACCCTGCCATAGCCCTGCCATAGCCTCACCCCTCTGGACTCTTCCATTACCTCTCTTGTGGAGTAGGCAGAAGCATCCTTTTTTAGCATCTCCTTTCTATTCCTTTCCACCAAGGCCATTTGGACTCCTTTTATCTTCTGCCTCATTAAAGTTAACTTGATTTGCTATCTCAAGGCTGTAAGCAATCCAGAGTAAGCGAAGTGAGGATGACTAGAATCTTTCCCCACAGAGGGAGCATTCATTTACAAATACTGAGTTCCCACTGTGTGCTTGACACTTGGTAAGATGGGAATGGGCCACGCACTCTAACTAGACCTGTTGAATTGATCATTAAAGCAGTTACTCCATAGGAGCATGGAAAGAAAATGTTAGGTTTCCTATTTATTTATATGTTTTTATCTCATGAAAATATTCCTGTTAATAAGTACAGGCATACAAGTTTATTTTTTAAAATCTATGAATTTATTGGTGATATAATTTAAATTTGTTGTGAGATCAAGAGCATTTGGGAAGTGGTCTGTGTAATTGGTTTGATTTTTGTCAGCCATTTAAAGATTGCTTTGAACTCCACTGTAAGGGAATAAATATATGCCCAAACAATCAGACTTTAAAGAGTTGTACATTCTGTCTTTTCTAGACCCTCCATTACATAGCACTGCTCTATATGCTGATGAAGAAGAATTTTCCAATCACTGTGGATTATCTGTCCCTTCAACTCCTCAAGGAAAAAGAACGAAAAAGTATGATTATATTTCAACCAGCTGTTTATGCATGTTTAATGGGATTTCTGAGCAACTTTTTAAGATAGAAGCTAATAAAACTATTTTTTGTGATCTTTTGAACTAACTTGTTATATTTTTCCCTTAGAGAACTGGGACATAAAAACTTAATTTTTAATAATTGACCTTACCTACAATATTGTAATCACTGATATAATTGACACCAGTTATCTGTCCTTATTAGGTTGAGTTACATTTATAAATCAGAGGAAATAGATATTTGAATGATGACATAAATGTCTATCTAAGGTCTTTGTGTCCTTTAGTGCTGTTCGATGTTTTATTCATATAAAATTTGTACATTTCTTAGGTTTATTCCAAGGTAATTTACCTTTTTTTTGTTGGTGTTTGCTGGCTATAAATGGTCTTCTGTTTTATTTTCTCTGTGATTAACTGTTTATATGAAAGCTATGAATTTCTTACATTAAGTTTTTATTATTTTTTAACTCAAATTTATAAATTTTAATCATTACCTCTTTGCCCAATAGTATGCTAGATATTGGAAAATAAAGATGAACACCTTATGCTTAAGAAATGATACTGTCGTTACATTCCTGGGATTATAAAACAACTCTACTTGGTTTGGCCTCTCTGCTGATCTTCCAGTGTACTGCCTCGGGGCCTTTGCACATACCATTCTCTGTGCCTATCTTGTTCTTCCCCTGTGTCTGCCTGGCTTGCTGCCATGCTTCCTTCTGGTTTTCAAATGTCACATTATGACAGCTGTCTACTCTTATACCTCCCAGAAAAAAGCACTCTTCTTTGTCAGTATATTTTCTCTACTTGGTTCTTTTTCTCATAGCACTTATCTCTACCCAACACATTTGATATTTATATTTTAATTTATTAATTTCTTATCTTTCTCTGATAGAAGGAGCTAAAGACAGAGAAGGACTTTGCTGTGTTTACTACAACCCGGCACATGGTAGATACTCAGTGACTATTGAATTCACTCTTCATGATTTGTGACAGTGGCTGAGGTGACTGACTGTGGACCAGCTGTGTCAGGACAGAGATGGCCTCAGATAGCAGGTTCTGAGTAACTGATCAGGCAGCTCTGGGAGAAAGATTGTGTCCTAAAAGAATCCCGTATTGGGCAGAAATGGTCGAGCCCTAATTTCTCCACCATTCTGTTACTGCCTGGAGACTCCTGTCCCCCAGATGCTGCAGCAGGTGCTGAGCACTCTGCAGCTGTATTGTGTGGCTTCATCCCAGGGCTGTGTGAGCAGCGTGCCCACATGGCTGTCTCTCAGCTGCTTCTGTTGTTCCCTTTGGCTTCTTTTCTAGCATTTCCTTCTCTTGAACATTGCATTCTATCTACATGCTGTTTTGTTCTTTGAATATGCCAGGCTGCTTTATATCACCATGATTTTACATTTCCATTTCTTTCTCCCTTAAATGCCCTTTGCCATACTTATCTGCCTGAGAAAGTGTTTTCAGAAGTCTACTCAAGTATCATAGCTACGGTACATTTGTTAATTTCCCAGCCATATATTCACACATCTCTGTGAAATGCTTGGTAAGTTAGCACTGAATATTAACTTTAGTCTTCCTACTAGGCATTGAGCCTTTTAAAGGGAGGCCTCTTTCTCGTTTTTTAAAAAATAATTATATTCCCCACACTGTGTATTTTTGGTTTTTTGGGTTTTTTTTTTTTTTTTTTTACCTTCAGCCTAGACATTTTGTGTTTTGAGGTTGATGTTAAATATATATTTATCAAATTGAATGAAAAGATGAAAGAATTCTCTTCTTCCATCAGAAGTCAGGGTTATTTTGTTCCTCTATAGGATTAAAGAAATATTCCCTTCTGTATCATGTTTGATGAGCCCAGTAAGCCCAGTAGATTAGCTTTTTTTTTTTGTCCCGGGAATCTAACTCAGGCCCTTGTACTTGCAAGGCAGGTGGCCGAACCACTGAGTCAAATCCCCAGGTCCCCCACTATTTTTTGAGACAGGGTCTCTGTATGTAGTCCAAGATGGCCTTGAATTCACAGCAGTCCTCCTGCCTCACTCAGCCTCCGGAGTGCTGAGATTACAGGTGCACTGCCACACATGGCTTGGATTAGCCTTTGTTTTGGTACCAATTGAATTCAGGACCTTGGGCTTGCGAAGCAGGTGGGTGTGGTACCACTGAGCTAAATCCCCAGCCCTTGAATTAGCTTTTAATACCATTGATAGCTGCTATTTCTGGGACTGGTAATTTAAAGAAAGATGTGATTCTCAGGACCACAAAGTGCTGCAAAAATGGAGCACTATTACTTACACATGGAGGACCAGATAAAAGACAGCCGGCCAATCTAAGTTGGTGACTGGTCTGTCCATGACAAGGATGGTGCCTCATCATTATATTGAGCTTGTTTTCGTGTTAGGCAAGCAACTGTGGAAGACCAAATCAAATGGATATGTATAAAATACTGATGGCTTGTTCTTTGGTGCAGTTCAAACACTTCTGAAAATGAGGGAAGTGAAGATGAATCTGTGAAAATTAGTGCAGAAAAGGTATGTAGAAGCATTCTGTTCTACCTTAATTTGTAAGATATTTCATATTTTATTTAGATTGGGTGCAAATAAAGAAAAGTACTCTATAAAATACTTCATTCCTATCTACACTGGATGCAAATAGAGAAAAATGTTCCATAGCAAAATTTTTCATACAGAAAGTGTTTTAGGCAATACTTTTATAAAAGTGAAATATTTTTATCTGAAATGTTTTTATTAAAGAGATGTCAAATCTCTTATGTACCTAATCAGCTTTAATCACACTTATGTAATGTGCTTGGTTTGTGATGTACAAAGGCAGAGGGAACTGTGGGGAGATTTACTTGGAGCCCTGGGGTTTGTGTCATTTTGCCACCCACGTAGTATGTTCAGTTTTGAAGTTTGAAATGAGAAATATGAATTCTACAGTCTTCTGCCATTACAGTAAAATAAGCATTTGTCCTTTCTAAACTAGTAATGCTGTTTTCTTCACAGCGAAGAAAACTTAAGCCCCTTAGTGATGAGTCTGAAAGCTCTGACGAAGGTGACATAACACGAAAGGTTAAATCAGCACAGAAAATCAATACTCAGCAGCATGAAGCTGTTCCTGCTACAGCATCTTCAGAGCCTTCAGAAAAACCAGCTGGACCAGTCACTCCTAGAAAGACAGGACCCCTCAGGGCCCAGTCCTCTGTTGAAAAGGAGACATGTGCAACTCAAAGTCAGCCGGTAAGAGTGTCTGCCATTTATTTATAAAGAAAGAAAAGCTTATTGAAAAGTGTTTGGGAGGAAAATACAGCATTTTCTTTTTGTCCTTCAGTTCTTCTAAAAGATAATTTTTATATTTTTCTTGTTATAAAAATGTTTAAGAAAACCCAGGCATGGAAAACAGTATGGAAAGGAAGATATATTCAACCACAAGTTCATAACCAAAAATAAACAGCATAATTTTTCTTTTTTTTTTTTCTTTTTATTGAGTTTATTGGTACAATCTAGGTACACAATACAGTTATATTCATCATTGGGATTCTGTACCTGTACATAATAGGTCTTGATTCTCATTTTTTCCCCTTGTGCCTGCCCTCCCTTCACCCCCTCCTCCCCTCCCCATTTACAAACACTTTATTTCCATTTTTTCAGTTTCTCGTATTTTTTTCCTCTCCCTTATTACCTTTCCCCCACCCTTCCCACTTGCCCTACACCTTTAGCCCTTTACTTCCTATTTCACATTATTAATTATCTCATTAGGATCCTGTGTACTATTATAGTTTTTTGCACCAAAGAAACTATTCGGTATTTCAGTTAAAGAAATCTCTATATGAACATTAAAAATAGGGAATCCTAAAATAAAACTAAAAAGGAAAGTAAAAGAGAAAAGGCAATGATGTAACATTAAAATAATCCTTAATTCTGGAGCTGAAAATGGTCCCTGAACATATTTAAATTGCTTCTTGCTCTTATAGTCTTATCTTATTCTTTTTTTCATTATTTAGAGAATACTTTATTAGTTTCTGTAATCAAACCCATGTACATATGACCTTACATATTTAGTACGAAACAGCATAATTTTTGATCTGTACTCTTCAGTCCTTTCACTGGGCTTTTGTAACAGTAAATGTGATCATAAGTATTCTACAGTATCATTTTCATGAATGTGAAAAATTCCTTTCATGGATGTGCCATAGTTAATCTCTTCCTGATAATGATTGCCATTTAACAGTTTTTAAGTGCTTTGATTAATTTCTTTGCACACACTCTTGATCGTTTCCTTAGAAAACCATTGCTCTGACAAGATTTCTGCTCACATTTGATCTACGATTCTTTTTTTTTTTCAAACTGTACCAATACTTCATATTTTGACCAAAAGAATAGATCCTGGTAGGAAGTGCAAAATGCAAAATCAAATGACCAAAAGATGCTGAACAAACAGCATTATTAATATACAAAATATTTATATTACTGAACTAGTAACAGATGATGTTCTCTGTGTTGGTAAAACTTTGGAACCACATAGCTGATTTGTTAAATCTAGTCCGTGCCGGCTTCCAAAAACCAGAATGATTTTATTTAGCTTCATTCTTTGATGCTTCATCAAAATTTTCTACCAGGTCCTGAACATCATCATCTTCTTCATCAATGTCTTCTGGTTTTGGTGCTTTGCTATCCAACACTTGTCATGGGAACTGTTCAGCTCATTTTCTAAGACTTGTTCAGCTGCCAGCACCATGCTGACTTAGTATTCCAGGAAGCATTTCTGTGATTGGTTTGGCTTCTGCGTGACCAGTAATTGCAAAGGTGTTAGCAGAGAGGGAAGCTTGGACTTCAAATACAGTTTGTCTACCAAATTATCACTGTCTTATTTTTGAACTTTTATTATACAAACTTTAGATCATTGGATACCTTATTTTTACTTAGGTCCTGAGATTGTGAACCTTCTTAAATCTCTATTCTCTGTAATCTACAAATTGATACATTTTTGCTGCTCTGTGTTGAAGTTCACTGACTATTCTGTAGCCATTCTTTTTCATTGAGTTTATTTGTACATTTTAGACATACAGTACAGTTACATTCATCATTGGGATCTTGTACCTTTACATGACAGGTCTTGGTTCTCATTTTTTCCCCATACCCCTGCCCTCCCTTCACCCTCTCCACCCTTCCCTATTTACCAAACCTTTGTTTCCATTTTCTCATATTTTTTCTGTAGCCATTTATAATAGGTAGTTAAATCCATATGGAGTAGCTGAATGGTACCTCCCAAAGATACACCCACGTCCTATTTCAGATTATCCTGATCTACACAGGTGGGCCACAGAGGTCATCATAAGTCTCCTCATACCAGACGTGGAGGACAGTAAACCCCCAACAGAGGAGAGGATGATTGAAGATGGGCAGGGGTGGGGTGACACAGCTGTAACCTTAGGAAGATCATGGCCACCAGAAGCTCGAAGGGATAAGGAATGAATTTCTACCCCGAAGCCCTTGGAGCAAGTGCTGTCCTGCTGAGACCTTTGTTTTGGCTCAATTAGGTCTGATTTCAGATTTAAGACCTTCAAAACTGTCAGAGAATACAGCTTAGGTGTGTGGCTCGGAGATAGAGCGCTTGCCTAGAATGAGCAAGGACCTGCGTTCCATCTACTGCAAAACCAGAAAGTCCCACCAGCTGTCAGCTGTCAGAGTATATCTTTCTGTTGGTTTAGGCCACCAGGTTTGTGGCAAGTTGTTATAGCAGCTATAAAAAAACTGAAATGCCACCTAATGTTTTTCTTTTTAGTTATATGGTTTTTGGTTCTAGAATTTATGTTTGGCTCCATTTTATAGTTTCTGTTTCTCTGATGATGTATTAGTTAGCTTTCCTGTTGCTAGACAAAATACCTGACATCTGCGACTTAAAGGAGGCAAGGCCTGTTTGACTTACTTTTTATCCTTTGTTAGGGTCAGTCTGTGGACAGCCTAAGGCTGTGGTGGTGAACCTATGGCACGTGTGCCACAGTGGGCTGTTTGCATCATTGATCTCTAAAAGGTTCATCATCACTGGCCTAAGGTGTTTCCTGAGTATCTAACATAATGAGACTCAGCACTGTTAGTTTTCAGCTACTACATAACAAGTTACTACAATTTTAGTGGCTTAAAACAACATACGTTTATTGTCTCACAATTTCTGTAGATCACGGTGGGGCTCAGCTTAGCTGGCTTCTCTGCTTAGGGTCTTGTAAAGCAAAAATCAAGATCTATGCAGGACTGAAATCCCATCTGACACTCAGGCTCCTCATCTAAAGTTTGTCAGCTGGTGAGAGTTCTTACACCTTGGAGGTGTAAGACTGAAGTCTATGTCATCTCTTTAGTTGAAGTCAGGAGTCATCTCAACACCCTTGTGGTGCCCTCAGGTGCTGGTAATGTGGCCCTCCCCCAGGATCGCAGCCCGAGATGCTCTTCAGGCTACTACAGGTAACCTCACATTGTTTATGTAACTGTGAGAGCAATGGCACTGTCATAGTGGCAGGAACGTCCACACTGAGTGGGGATAACTTGCACTGCAGGTCATCTTAGACTTCTGCTTACTGTACCCCCCACTCTGTGCCCCTGATGGGTCTGGTCACAGCTTGGTTTTAGGCTTTACTGAAGTAGGTCTGGACTAGGTCTTACTTTAGGGCAGTGATTCTCAACCTATTTTTATTTTTGTTCTCCCTAAGAAGCTTTTTAGTTAGATATTTTTCCTCCAACAAATATGCCACCACTACACTGTGTATCACTTTATGTTCTGGGACCCTTTGGCCTAAGATTTTTTTTTTTTTTTTTTAATCTTCCCCCTAGGAACCAGTTTTTGCCCTGGTAGGAGCTGTGTGTAAGAGTGCATGATCTAGTTTATGACTCTTACCCTAAGTATGATCTTTTTTTTCTTCTTCTTTTTTTTTTGTACCAGGGATTGAACTGGGTCCTTGTGCTTGTGAGGTAGGTGGTGGAACCACTGAGCTAAATCCCTGGCCCCTAAGTATGATCTTTCTGCCTGACAGATGGGTGGGTGTCCAGATATGAACATCTTCTGAGTTAACCTTTTTTCAGGGAAGCCAGTCATAAGTTGCACCTCTTCCCCCCCCATTTCATGGTCGTTTACGACAAAAGTGTTGGGCAGGACAACCCCTCAAAAATATATGACTGTAGGAGCCAGAATATGCTACCCCAAAGTATACTTCTTTTGCATATTTTGAGCTGATTATTCTGAGAAATTGCAGGCACCATCTCTGAAAAGGTATGGGGTAAAAACAAAATGAAAAGGTATGGGGTTGTTTTTGGTTTTTTTAGGGGGGTGTTCCTCTGAGACAGGGTCTCAATATATTGTTCAGGCTGGCCTTGAACTCACTGTGTAATCAAGGGTGTGCTGGATCTTGTGGCAGTCCTCCTACCTCTCAGCCTTAGTGCTGGGATCACAGGCATGCAGCACCACGCCGGGCAAGCTATGGTTTTGTAAAAGCAATTTGCATCTATAAAGGGAATCTATTGGTAAAAGTATCTATTAGGAAGTAGGCAACTTACCTGAAGACTTTTATCTGCATACGAGACCACCTTTCCTCACCCCACATTTCCTCCTCATGGCTTCTGAGGGCTGTCCTTCTCAGAAGCTCAGGTTCCCACTCCTTTCTTAGCTTAAGTCTCATTTTTGTTATCCATGTGGTTTAAATATGGTTTTTCTGCTGTTAATTTGTCAGTTTTCAGGGGAGCCTGCACATAGAACCCGAAGGGTGAGGGGAGCCATTTTCTCCCTTCTGTGTGAGCCATACAAAGTAGTTCTTACTGAGGCTGTGAGCAGAAACTTGAGCTGATTCCATACATTGCTATCTTAAATATTTTAAGTTCAACTTCCTCCATTGCAATGATTATTAAAAGTCAGCAGAAAGTTTTACTTTATTTTCTGCAGTGTTTTCTGTGTTAGATATTTATATGATTAACATTAATTTAGAACTAAGTGGGAATTTTAGCTTAAATATCGACTGATAGTGTATAATACTGTCTTCCTTTCTTGAATCTTTTTTTCGTTTGGGTGTGGTGTTTCCGTCAGGGTCACCATGTAGTCTAGGCTGGCCTTAAACTCACACACAATCCTCCTGCCTCAGCCTCTTTAAATGTTAGAATCACAGGTGAGTGCCACTGAACTTGATAACAGCTTATTAGTTCTTATGTTTTAAGAAAAAGAAAACTTTCTTAAATAAAAATCTATAATTTTTTTGGTAGAAAATTCAGAAAAAAAGGAAGCTATCTCCCGGCAAAAGGAAGAAATCAAGAAGTAAAGCCAAAGACTCAGGTATAAGGTGTTATTTTATACTTTGTCACTTTCTCAAGGATTTCATGAAAAATATTTATTATTTGTTAAAGTAGCAAACTGAAAGTTCATGCAATTGCCATTTCTAAAAAAAGTAGGAATATATGCCTTTGGAGTATCATTGTTTTCTAACATTTTGTCGTGAAAATTTCTGCATGCAATAAATCTGAAATTTCACATTATACATTTATATATAAAACCTATGGCATAGGTTTTACAATTAACATTTTATTGTAATTGCTTTATTATTTTCTTTCCATTAATCACTGCACAGTTCACCCTGAGCGTCACTTGGGCAGTGTGTTTGTTTACCCACTGACTGTCCTGAGAATCGCTGGGTAGGTGTCATTCTGTACTGAGTAAATTTGATAAAATTGTCATTTTTTGTGTTTCCTGTTGTCTTATAAAAATTAAGAAAATATGTGCAGTTTTGACCATCCTGTATTTGAATAATTAGACTGGTAAATGGTTAATACACTTTGGTATTTAATGTATTTAAAATATGCAACAGATGTCAGTATATGTCTCCTGAAATACTATACTTAGCTCACACTTTATTAATCAGATAAGAGTTCATTGTTTACAATTTTTCTGTTAATGAAAAATATGAAATGCTTGGATCTCAAGTGTGTAATCACTTGAGTTTTGAAAACGCAAATATGTATTATGTAACTCAAAGCACCATCAAAATATAAATGCTTCCCATTACTCTAGAAAGTTTCCCTGGGCCTCAGTCAATCCCCACTTCCACATCCCCAGAAGCAATTTTTTTAGAATTCTTTTTTTTTTTTTAACCTTACATTAGTTTTGCATATTCTATAGATTCATGCAGATGGCATTGCATAGTATGTACTCTGGAGATTCATTCATACTGTTTGAGCCATTTTTATTGCTGAATAATATTCCCTTGTGTGACTATATCACATTTTATCTGGTCTCTCATTGATACATAACTGCGTTGTTTTCAGGTTTTGGCTATCATTAATAAAATCACTCTGAACATTTGCATACACATTTTTTGTAAACATGTTTTTATTTATCTTGGTAAATACAAAGAATGACATTGCTGCCCCTTCCCCTTTGGACCTTTTCAGGGAGAAGGATTTCTTACCTAACACAATAATCTTAAGTTTGACTTCATTAAAATTAAGAACTTCTGCTTATCAAGAGCCCATAAGAAAAGGTGCAGTAGAAAAAACTAACTGAAAGAAGATACTGCAGCATATTTCAGTAATTAGCAAACTCCTACAAAGTGAATGAAAACATAACCTAGTAGAAAAATGAGCAGATAACACCAACAGATTTTCACAGAAGAATACACAGAATAAAATAAAGATTTGAAGGGCGCCCATATCTGGGTTAGCTTTCTATTGCTGTAAGATAATACCTAAAATAATCGACTTACAAGGGAAAAGGGTTATTTTGGCTCACAGTTTTGGAAGTTTCAGTTCGTGATCAGTTGGCCCCTTGGGTGAGTAGTAATGCCGCGTGCACACCACAGTGGGAGGACGCGGCAGAGCAGAACTGTTCACCTCATGGCCAAGCAGCAAAGGAGAAGAGGAAAGGGCCAGGATCCTCCAGTCCTTCGGAGGCATCCTCTTAGTGACCTGAAGATCTTTCACCTCACTTCTTAAGGGTCCTACTATCTATCCATAGTGCCATTAACACCTGGGCTTTTGGACATTCAGCTGAGACTATATCAATTACTAGACAGAGAAATCTAAATTATAGGTACAGTGAAACACCTTTTTGTACCTACTAGTCTGGCAAATATTTTGGTTTTTCAATTCCATACTATTTAGCAAGATTGTCAAAAATGGAAATCCTGACGTATTATAGCTACAAAGACATATTATAAGTGCTCCTAGCATTACTTTTTCTGCTAGCAAAACCTTGATCATTGTAGTATGTTTATGCGCTGGAATGGAATACAAAAAAAAAAGTAAAATTTTTGCTTTTGTATTAACATAAATACATGGTCATAAATGGTCAAAAACATGCAAAACTAAACTATACATTGTTTAGGATTATATTCATGTGTAATAAAATTTAATATATTCACAGATTTCAGAATGATGGTTACCTATAAGTTTGGTGGGAGGAGGTATTTGAGGAGGGAGCATACAAGGTACTTCAGTGTCTGTTAATGTTCTTTCATTAAGCTGTATTGTAGACTCATAACCATAATTTTTTATTATTCATCTTTATATTTCACAAACAAATATTGTGTATATCAAATAAATAAAAATAAAAGTAAATTCTGATGCTAAAATAAAAAAAGAATGGACAGGAAAAATTTTTTCTATTAGTCTTGAGAACTTAAGGAAATTTTTATGTGGAAGTATTATTTTCCAAAAGCCAGACTATTTTTTACAGTTTATTTGCTTTTCTAATATTCTAATAAAGCTGAGTTTAGGTGAATGAGCAGGAATTTGGGAACCAAGGGGACAGTGGCTAAACTGGGATCAGCAGCATTATAGGGCTGGCTGAGAAGCATTATCAGAGAACCAGTGACTAATTTCTGCTTCTATTTATAACTGTTCTTATAAATCTATAGCCACAAAACAATGGGATGTTTACTATGTGCCAGTCACCACACTGAGCATGTAATCCTCAGTACGAAGGGTAGGTACTATTGTTTTCCCATTCTTACAGATGAAAAGATCTGAAACAGACCAGAAAACCTGTCTGATCTTGCACGGCTTTTAGTGGGCTTAACTCATGTGTTGAGTTTCTATTAATGCACAAGAAACTACCACAAAACTTAGTGATTTTAAGTAATAGGCAGAAAAATATGTTCTATAGACATTTGTGCTCTTGCCTGTTCTTGAAAATAAACTTTTATTGGTACACAGCTAGACTTTTTAAGTGCGATATTAGATGCTTTTGTACTACATTTCAAGAGTAGTTGAATAGTTGGGCCATGATGCCAACAGTGCTTACTGTCTGGTACATTAAGGTTTGCCATTTGCTGATTTGCAACCATGACCATCTACCTTATTTCCTTACACTCCTGGTTGGGCAGTTTTGCATTTGGCTGCATTCATTTGGTGGCTGGGCCAGGGCAGAAGTTCTGAAAAGGCTCCATTCATGTGTCTGGTACCTTGGAGCTCCTGCACATGATCTTTCCTTCTTTTTATGTGGTGAGCTTGGGCTCTCCTGTTGTTTGGTGCTCAAAATTTCACATAATGGCCAACTTCCAAGAAGCATTTGAGGAGGTGAAAAGTAGAAGCTGTGGATCTTTTAATATCTGGCCTTGGAAGTTGTACAGTATCACACCAACCTGTCCTATTGATCAAGCCATGCATTGGGTGATCTCAGATTCAAAGGGAAGGGAAATGGGAAAGAGTCATACTGAACTTGCAGCTATCATTCATCTACCACAGCAGTGTTAAGTTCAGCTCAGTCTGACTCTGTGGACTTAGCAGCTTTCCAGTATTGTATAAGGAGTTAATTATGGAAAAAGGATGGACTGTCCTGCCAATGGTTTTTGTTAATATTATACAGAAAATGGGTATTCATTAGAAATTGATAACACCTTACAAATGCATAGTAATTTGTAGTTTTTACAAATGTATTCATAGATATTTTCTTGTTTGAGTCTCAAAACAAAGTAAAGGCAGAACATATTTTATTTCTTATATTTCACTATAGAGGAAACTGGGCCCTGGGAAGGTTTAAATGACTTGCCTGAGATCCCAAGGCTAGTGAGAAAAAAAGCTCAAACAAGAACCTACACCTTCACATTATCCAGAACATTACTATATTACTATAACTTTAAATTAATACACTGAATAATCCTGGTGTATTTATACATAGCTTATCATTTAGTTGAAAATTTAGAACATACAGCTAACAGGGAAGAGCTTATCACCAGTTGTGTTGGATAACGGCAGATGAATAAAGGTACAGCAAAGTAATTTAGAGGTCATGATGCTTTTGTAGTAGTTAGTAGAAGTTTGGGACTGTAAATACAGCTCCCATAGGATTTTTCAGCAGTAGCTACCTGACGCAATTTGTTTTGGCTTCAGGCTTTCAGAACTACCAACCTAGAACTACATTATGAATGATCAGCATATTAAATTGACCTTTCTTAATATTCTAGATATTTCTGATAGCGTGCATATTTGGTGTTTGGAAGGAAAGAGAACCAGTGACATCATGGAGTTGGATATTATTTTGTCTGCCTTTGAGAAAACCATCATAGAGTATAAGTAAGTCTTCTGATGTGATATATGGATGTAATAAATTTCCCTTGAGGCACTGCTTTTGCTTATTTCACAGTGTTTAATATATAGTATTTTCATTATCATGATGTTTTAGATAATTTTATATTTCTATAATAGGTCAGGATACATATATTTATTCAGCTAATTTCAAGTATTGGATCATCTCTTCTATACTGTTTCTGATAGACTGGTCTTATTTGTATTTTCCTTTTGAAATAGTTGTTTTGCTTCCACCTTTGAGCTTGTTTCCCCCAGGGCTGTGGGCTTCTTGGTCCATGTATGAGTAAGGCCACATCCCAGTCCCTGTCAGCTCCCCTAAAAGAGATGGGAGGCAGATAAGCCCTAGGTTGGGAATCTCAGTCACTCAGTCACTCACAGAGAAGGCTGTCAGGTCTGGGCTTCATGTACCCTCCAGAGAGGCAACATGGGAAGTAGATGGATAAGCAGTCATTCTATAGCCTGGGGATTTGGCAGAGAACAGCGAGGAAGGAAACAGCTTCCTCAAATTAGTCTCCACCTTTTTTTCTCCAGGCCTTAAAATAATCACAGCCTGGGTTTTATTCTTTCCTTCCCCTCACCTCTTTCTCTCCATCTTAAATTCCTACCGTACCAAACAATAACAAAAGTTGTGTCTAAAAGGGTAGCCTAGCAGTGTGAACTGAGGGATGTGGACCAGCCAGTCATGCCTTAAACACTGCTGGCCTCTCTGAGAGCAGCATCCACAAGGCTGGCAGCCAGCAAGGGCATAAGACAGGAACCCCGAGGGGCATGGAGTCAGAGGAGTAAGGAACTAGCAGCTATGGAGAGCAGGAGCATGAAGCAGGAGGACAGAGGCTCCAACACAGTGCTTGAGAGACAGGAAGAAAAGTAGGAAACAAGGAGAAAAGAGGAACTTCTCTAAGCCGCTCTGCATTTAAAGCAGGAATATTCCTCAATTCTGTTCCACAACTAAGTCTGGTTCCGCTTATGCTGCTCTGGGGATTTGTCCACCACTTGCCTCCACAAACAAAGCTGCCATCCACAGCAAGTGGCATCATGAAAATCTAGAAAAGCTGGACTTCCTTCCAAGAAGGAACTCCGTATAACCCACAGTTGACCCCATCACCAATATCATGGTCTTGGGCTTCAGTTAGTAGAGTTTATTTGCAGGGGATTATAAAGTGTCTATAAAGAGTAAAGCCTGGCACACTGCTCTGTCCAGCTCCAGAGGAGAGTTGGTGGGAGAAATTCTAAACAGTGCTCTAGAATGTGCTGGTGGATATCTGTGTCACACTAGCCTTGGTCAACCCCCTCCTTGTCCTTCATCTAATCCCTTTGCTCTCGGATCTGGGTCGTGGTCTCCCCTGAAGACTTGGGGCAGAGTGCTGTCCATTCAGGATGCTCTGTTTGTGTCACCAGTGAAATCATGTTTGGTCACAATTGGAATGCCATTTTGTATTTTAGCCATTCTCTTATTGTTGTAAAAAGAAAATACCATCAAGTATTTTCCAGTGTTTAGTAGTATTAATGATTTGTACCTTCCTGTGCAATACAGCTCTAGAATTTAACTCACTTTGCACAACTGATACCCCTTACGCTTTAAACAATTCACCATTTCCCCTTCCCCCTAGTGGCCACTAACCCTACTTTGTCTTCATAAATTTGATTACTCTAGATATCTCACATAAGTGGAATCACATAGTGGTTGTCCTTCTGTGACTGGTTTTTTCACTTAGCACAATCTCCTTAAAGTTCATCCATGTCCATCCATGTTCTTGTGTCAGATTACTCTGTTTTAGGCTGAATAACATTCTGTCATACGTATACCATATTTTCTTTGTCCGTAAATGGACACGTAATGAATTTTCCTCACTTTTCGGCTATCATGGACATTTGGTATACAAATAATCTGTTTTGAATCCCTCCTTTCAAGTCTTATGATTATATTCTTAGGAATGGAATTTTTCGGCCGTATGATAGTTCTGTATTTAACAGATGCACGATGGGGTGGTAGTTCATATGTCTCACTGCTGGGCAGCTTGAATCACCAGTGGTACATTCATAACTGTCCCATCAGGTGGCTATTTATTAATTTTATTAGTAAAAAGACCAATAAAAGTGATTAGGTCTGTTTGTAAAACCAGTGGTACAGCCTGCCCAGTGGGACAGTCATGCATATACCACCAGTGGCTCAAGCCGGTGGGAGCATGTTCATATTTTTAAAGAACTGCCATGTTGCTTTTTTGTAGAACTATACCACTTTAACTTTCCACCATCAATAGTACTTCTAATTTTTCTATATTCTTGCTAACATTTATTTTCTTTCTTTTGGTACTGGGGATTGAACTCAGGTCCTTGAGCTCGTAAGGCAGGCCACTGAACAGCTGAGCTAAACCCCTGGCTATTTTCTGATTATATATGATTGCCATCCTAATAGGTATAAAGTTGTATTATGGTTTTCAATTGCATTTCCCTTGTGATTAGTATGATTCCCATGTGCATGGTGGGCATTTATATATTTCATTTGAAGAAATGTCTGCTCGTGTTCTTTGTTCATTTTTGAATTGGATTAGTGTGTGAATTGTAGGAATTGTTAAATATATTCCAGATAATCCCTTTGTTAGGTATATAGTTTGCCAAGTAAAAGCAACAAATAAACATATGAAAAAATGTTTGACATCACTGGTCATTTGAGAGATGCAGATGAAAACAACACTGAGATTCCACCCTACCCCACAAAGAATGGCTGCTATCACGAAATCAATAACAAATGCTGGTGGGGTTGTGGGGAGAAAGGAACCCTTCTCCATTGTTGGTGGGAGTGCAGACTGGTACGACCACTGTGGAAATCAGTGTGGAGGTACCTCAAAGTGCTAGGACTAGAGGTCCCGTTTGACCCAGCTATCCCTCTGTTGGGTATCTTTCCAAAAGAATTAAAAGAATCATACCACAGAGATAAATGCATACCCATATTTATAGTGGCAATTTGTCTCCCATTCAAGTACTAACCAGGCCCAACCTGCTTAGCTTCCGAGATCAGACAAGTTCAGGGTGGTATGGCCGTAGACTATAGTGGCACAGTTTGTAATAGCTAATACTTGGTATATAGTTTGGAGATACTTTCTTCCCTTCTGTGGGTTGCCTTTTCATTGCTTTATTTCCTGTTGTACAATTTTTAAGTATGATGAAATTCATTTGTCTATCCTTGCTTTTGCTCCCTTTGCTTTTGATATACTGTACAAGAAATTACCACCCAAGTCCAGTGTCATGAAGTTTTCCTCTATGCTCTATTTTAGGAGTTTTGTAGTTTTCAGGTCTTCATGTAAGTACTTAGTCCATGTTGAATTAGTTTTTGTATATGGTACATATAAGATAAAGGTCCAGCTTCATTCTTCTGCATATAGATAGACATTCATTTTTCCCAACACTGTTGAAGGGACTGCCATTCCTCATTATATAACCTTGGCACCCTTGTCAAAGATCACAAATATACATGTTTATGTCTAGGTTCTGTATTTTGTTTTGGTCTTACAGGTCTCTTTCTGACAGCACTGTCTGATTTTGATTACTGTAACTGCAGTAAGTTTTGAAATCAGATAGTATGAGGCCTCAAGCTTTGTTTTTCTTTCTCAAGATTGTTTTTGGCTGTATGGGGTCTGAGATAGTTCATATAAGGTTTTTTCTATTACTGTAAAAACTGCCATTGGAATTTGATTGTTTTGGGTATAATGGACATTTTTAGCAATATTATGTCTTCCATCTCATAAGCATGGATGTCATCTGTATCTTCTTTAGTTGTTCCACCAACACTTGCTTTCTGTTTTGTTTGTTGTTTTTATTGTCACTGGGCTAATGGGACTAGTGTAGTATTAATAGTTTTGGTTTGCATTTCCTTCATGATAACTATTATGGAACATCTTTTACATGTACATTATAATGATCTCGGAGAAGACAGGCAATATAAGAAGAAAGATGATGAATTCTAAGGAAGAATCAAAAAGATGTACAGATAAAAAACAAAAAAACAACATATAGGTTGGGTATCCCATATCAAAATGCTTGAATCCATAAGTGTTTCAGACTTCAGCATTTTTTAGATCTTGGAATTTTACATAAATTTTACTGATTGAGCAGCCCTAATGCAAAAATCCAACATCTGAAATGTATAACCTTAATCAGAATCTGTGGACTGAGAATACACATTCTTCTCAAACTCACATGTAACATTTACTAAAATAGACCACATTCTATAGAACACACTTTAGTGTAAGTAGAAAACATATGCCTGCTTTCAGGCTACTGTGGAATTAAATTATAAATCAGTACCAGAAAGTTACCTGGAAGATCTCAAAATACTTGGAGATTACACCAAAGAAGAAAGATAACACCTCTAAAGAACAGATAGGTTAATGAAGAAATTATAATAGAAATTTAAAAGTATTTTTCACTATCTGAAAATGGAAACCGCTTATAAAAATTTGTGGAATACAACAAAAACAGTTCCTCAATCATCTAACCTTTCACTTTAGTACTAGGAAAAGCAAATTAAGTCTAGTATAAGCAAAAGTAAAGAATAAAAATTAAGAGCGGAAATCAGTGAAATTGAAAATGAACAAAAGCTGGTTCTTTGGAAAAAACCAATAAGCCTCTAGCCAGGCTAAAAGAAAAAAGGGGGGGTACCCAAATTACTAAAATCAGAAATGAGACATTATTATACATCAGTAAACTGAATGAATAGTTAAAGGATACTAATTACTGTAAGGGACTTTATGCCTACAAATTTGGTAACTGCAGTGAAATGGACTAGGTTCTTGAAAGATAAATCTGGTGAAACTCAGAAAAAGAAATACATGATCTGTGTGAGACTGTATCTGTTTTAAAAAACTTAATAGCCTCCCCAAACAAATCACAGGACCCAGATATGTTCACTGGTGAACTCTACCAAATATTTAAGAAAGAAGTCATCAGTTCTCTGCAATATTTCAAAAGATACAGAAAGAATACCTCAAAACTCTTTCAGGCCAGCATTAGCATAACAAAATTAAAGGCATAGGAATACAACAGACCACTATCTCATGAAAATAATGCAAAACTTCTTTTAAAATATTAGTAGATTGAAGTGAATGATGTATAAAAAAGAATCACACACCACAACTAAATGGAATTTATCCAAGGTGTGCAAGGCTAATTCAGCTTTAGAAAATAATCACACCAAGAGGCTAATGCAAAAAAGTGATCATATTAATAGATGCAGGAAAAACATTTGACAAAGTTCGATACCTGTGGAAAAAAAACTCAGTAAAATAAGGAATAGAAGGTAACGTCTCTAACTTCACAAAGAATATGTAAAAAATTAGCACCTTACTAAGTGATGAGAAACTAGAAGCATTCTCACTAAGGTAGGGAAGAAGGCAAGGATGTCCTCTCATCAGCACCCCCCCCACCTTTTTTTAAACTAGGGATTGAACCTAGGGCCATTTTCTTTTGGTTAGCTTTCTAGCTCTGAAGAAGTGGACAGCTGACTTGTGGCTGCTAATGTGTTACACAGTTAGACCTCCAGTTGCTATCAGGCAAGGAGGGAGGAGATAAGATTGGCTGGTGATTATTAGATCAGATCGTGGGAAAACTAGGATTGGCTGTAAGCAGGTCCACATCACTTGCTGTCACCTGTGGACTTGGCCAACATCAGGGAATTAAGAAGGCCCATAGCAAAAGGCTTAGGAAAAAAATTTTCTTCCTGAGACATGTTCTCAGTATTTTTTGAAGCTTAAGAAAGAGCTCCAAGCTGAACACTGTCATCTTAGATATTTAAAATGCTATATGCCAAACTGGTTTTGTACTCAGCAAATGAATACATTTTCCAAAATGCTTTATGACACCTAGTTTGTTTTTTAACCCCCTTACAGACAAAAAATAGAATCTAAAGTTTGTATGGAAGCCATCAACAAATTTTATGTTAATATTAAAGAAGAACTTATCAGAATGGTAAGCTCACTGAAGTAAGTTTGTTAATCTAAATTTTTAAAACTATTCCTGAGGCAGCGTACTGTTGTCCTAGAAAAGCTCATGTTTACTAGCAATATGATATATGATAATATAGGCATTAGAACTACATATATTGCACATACTGCTTTAAAACTGTGATATATGTGAAACTAACATTTAATTTTGGAAAATGCATGGATTTATTTTTTGTTTTGTATAGCTCAAAGAAGTCCAGATGTTGAAAAATTTGAAAAGGAAGAATGCTAAGGTAAACACATATGTGATTAGAGTCTCATAATCATACAGTACTAGCATATGTAAGACTACCTTGGGAGTTTATGTAAGATGTTTTATCTTTGTAGTCAGGCTTTTATTTGGTTGGTCTTTTGACTAGGTAATATTAACATAGGCTAAGCAATGGGGATCTGTGTCAGTCAGCTTTCTATCACCAAAGAAATACCTCAGATAAACTTGTAAGAGAAAAATGTATTTTGGCTTCCAGTTTTGAAGGTTCCTGTCCATAATTTTTTATCCTTGCTGCCTTTGAGCTTGTGACATGGCAGCATATCGTGATGGGAGAGTTTGACAGAGCAAAACTGTTTGCTTTTCTGAGCCACAGAACAAAATAGAGCGAGAAGACTAGGGTTCCAGTCTCTAATAATGACCTGAAGTCCAACAGCTAGGCTCTTCTGCCACTGTCCTGTGTTCTCCCTGCATTGCTAATACCAGGCACGATGTACATGGCAGTGCTCAAACATTCACGAGTTTAACAAGGAAATTATTGTATTACCTAGATGATTTCTGATGTGGAAAAGAAAAGGCAGCATTTGATTGACATCCAGGATGAACTGCTTCGGTAAGATAATATCAAAATTGTTTGAGAACTTAAAAGCAAAGTAGTGTGGCATTTGTTTGGGACAGTGATATTTGCTGCTGTAGCACAGTAAAACCCCCAAGTTATTTTTGAGCTTGGATGTTCAGTGGAGCCCAGTTTAGCTACCTAGTTGCCAAACGTTTTAGCAAAGGAAAACTCAACACCAATCCATCTTCCAACATCTCTGCTCTGGCCTCAGGCTGCTTCATTAGACATGTAATGTGTACACTCTAGAATTAGACTGCCTGGGGTTGAATCCACAGGGTGGGGCTGTGAACTGAGTGACTATAAAGTGCTTCACGGTGACAAGCGTACAGAAAGTGCCCTATGTTATTGTTGAAATGTACATCCTGGATTGGCACTCGTGTTTGTCTGTACTGCTCAGTGTTGGGTTGGAAGATAACTGTGCAGGCCTGGACGGTCTCGGAGGGCTGTTTTGGAAGATGGGAATACACAGGAACCTGGCTACCTACACATATTTTTTGGTCCTCTTCAGAGACCAGGACCGCTGTGTAAGCTGGAAAAAAGCAGGATTAGCTATCGTGGACAGTTTTGATAGGAAAACTTTATGTTCACTTTAACTTTCACTGTTAAATAGCAATGCTCATTTAATTCAGTAGCTAAGATGTGCATGACTTGATAGATTTAGCATATTTAAAACCTAGACTCTTTTACCATTCATAACTTCAGAGCTGGGATGGGACACAGCCTAATGGATAAAGCGTTTGACTTTGGATCATAATTTCAGAGCCAAAGTTAAATCATGTAGTCTACCTCCCCTCTTTTCATACTTCACTCAGTATACTTATGTACTCAGTCTTATACCGAGCTGCACTTTATTGTATAGTCATTTATTTGGGGGAAAAATACAAATTTTTATTCTAGGTTAGAACCACAGCTGAAACAACTACAAACAAAATACGATGAACTTGAGGAGAGAAAGTCATCCCTTAGGAATGCCACACATTTCTTATCTAATTTAAAACAGCTTTATCAAGATTATTCAGATGTTCAAGAGAAAGAACCAAATGTAAAGGAAACGGTAAGTTAGATTTTTACTTTTTATTGTGCCTCAGTAGAGGACATGTACATGTTAGAGTTTTGGAAACTTTGGCAAAAGATAAAGGACCATCACTATAAATCAGTGAAATTTTATTATCACCTTTTTTAAGATAATTTTTTAGCTACTTAAAGAGTGGAAAAAATCGAGAAATAGTGCTTTTTTTAAAAAAAGATATTTATATTTCAGAGAACTTAATTTCATCAAGGGAAATGTATACTCTTGTGTGGAAATCTAAGTTGAACAACCATGCTCTTTGTTTTTAGAATTTTTATCAACATAGATCACTCAGACATGTTCAAAAGACCAACCTCTTTTGCTTTAGTTTAGTCCATGTTCACTGTATCTTCTGTCTGAAAAGTAAGATGTTACCCCACATGAATGGCAAATTTTTTCTGGGGTTGAGACACACAAAAGAAATGGCAGGAAAAATGTTATATATTATTGTTTCAATAAACTTTGTAGCTGCTCCTGGAATTTCACTGCTGTTTTTATGACATTCAGCCCAGATTAACAGAAATGTTTTATAGAAAAAATTTGTATGTTTGTATACCCTAATATGTAATAAAATACACAATTTTATATAAAATATATATAATTACAATGTCTACATATATCTTATTATAAAACTTGTAATCGTCACTTCTAAATTCAATTTTACATTTTAACACTTATGTAAATTTATTTTCTTGGGCTGAAGATTTGTTCATGTATTAGATATCTGGAAAAAAGTTTCAATGTACCCAACTAGTCTAAAGCTTATTATTTGGAATAGAAAATTTGGCTACTAGATGTGGTAAAACTAATAGTAGCTTGCTTGATTCAATTTGATTACAACCAGTACTTTTTTTTGTTGGTGTTGAGAATTGAACCTGGGGTGTCCTGCATGCTAGGTAAACGCTCTACCAATGAGCTACACCTCCAGCCTTGAAACCAAGATTTAGAAACTACTTTGTTTGGAAGATACCACTCAATACCACATGTCATCCTTTGTGAACCCTCAGTGCCTTTTGTAGCATCTATTTTGCTTTATAAAATGTAGACATTTGGGTATATCTTACCTCTTTCCTAAGTGAAACATGTACCACCAATGGAATTCTTCCCCCCTACACTGAGAGGTGTCTGTGGTTTCTTGAACACATTAGGCTCTGAAATATTTACCAAATTGAATTCTCAATATTGCTAAGATGAATGCCAGAAAAAAATTCTATTATCATAGTCATAGTCTGCTCAATTTTTATTACTGAGAAAATCACCTTGAAAACATGGTATTTAATCACCCTCAGATACAGTTTGCAATAGACAAGTTTGATTTTGTTATTTCAAAATCAAGAGTTAGAGCTAAGGTCTATCTATATTGGATTTGTATTGTTTTTAATTATTAAGAAAATTTGGATTGGCAACACTGATCCCCCAATACTTTTTTTGTAGATGTTGGATTTTGGGGATTTTATGATGAACTTTTATAGGCCTGGTGTTCTAATTCCATCAGTTCTTGTAGTCAAAGTAAACATGACTTGCAGCTTTTTGTGTTTTAAAATAGACATGAGATCAAACAGACCCCATACAGCACTAGCCCAAACCAAGCCTTGACTTGTCCCAAGCATGATCTTCTGCTTTAAAGAATTCAGACGCGACTGTTCTGTGAACCAACTGGTGTTCTGGAATAAGGAGATCAGTACAAGCTTTATATTATCAATTATGTCCTAAGGAAATTAAACCATTTTTCTTAATGATCCTAATTCAAAACTGAAAAGAGTATAAATAGAAAGCTTTATCAAAATTGGCATTGGTTATAAGCTTGAGATGTGCAATAAGAGGGTGATAAAGGTTTTGCTGTTTGTGAATCTAAGTAATTTTGTTTCATTGACAGTATGATTCATCCAGCCTTCCAGCTCTGTTATTTAAAGCAAGAACACTATTGGGAGCTGAAAACCATTTGCAAAATATCAACCATCAATTAGAGAAGCTTCTTGACCAGGAATGAGAAAACCATTCTACTTAAATGTGCCCACATAAAGATGTTGCAGGCTTCTACCCATTATCTTCTGAAACTGTATTTTTGTAAATAAAAAAATCTTTTTCAAAAATAAGTATAGCCTAGTCACTAGGGTTTAGTATGACTTTGTTATTCACATTAAATTACTCTAGTTTGATTGTCTTAATAGTTTTGGCAGTCAAAATCATCTTTTCTGATTAGTGTTTTAATAAATTCCAATATGTTAACATTTGAATCAGCCTCAAACATAAGAGCTTTAGCCTATAAAGAAGCTTGTAAAATTACAGTCAATAAGGAGACTTCTGTTTAAGCCAAACAATGCTAATTTTCAATAAAACTGGTATACTTAAGTGAAAAAACAAAATTGGAAAACAAAGTGAAAATTTAGACTGGTTTAATAATAAATTTAAAAATGTTTGTGGTGGTGCTGGTGATTGAACCAGGCTTTGTGCACACTAGGCAAGTGCTCTACCACTGAGCCACACCCTTAGCCCCAATTTAGTTTTTCTTATAAAATCTCATAGACTTGAGGCAAAGTATAGCCTGGTTCTGTAAATGCTGTCCATAGTGAACTACTCTTGCAATACTTCTATAATAAGTTCATCAGGAATTTCATTCACTGCACTGCTGTAACTGAGAAGACTGTTCTCTGCAGCTTCAGCTAATTCCACATCTTCAGTAGCTTCTATGAAGTACACATCATCAGTTCTGTTATCCCAGCCAGTGCCAGAAGATGCACCTGGATTCTTGGCTTCACCGTTCCAAGATTCATCTGCTATAAACTCTTCCTTTATTTCATTGGGGAAGGGTGGTAGAGGGAGTAGGATAGGAAGAAAAAGGTTATTTGGTCAGAATTTGTGGGATCTCATTGTACACTCCAAATATATGAATTAAGGTATGAAGTAATGACCAGTTCTTCAACAGAGTAAAATGAACATGCTTGATAAATGTCTGAGAGACAGTCACTATGGGGATGTGTATAAAAAGGTTGCTGCCTTTATAGCTCACTCTTGAAATCCTGTGGTTAATTTTCCTGTGGTTCTTTGGCAGAAGTTGGCAATATCCCCAGATGGGGCTAAAGCAAAGGTAGATTTCTTTTTTTTTTTTTTTTTTGACAAGTAGATAGTCTAACCGAAGACAGTAGAAAATTCATTTGCTATCCAGACAGCCAACTTTTCTCTCTAATTTATAAAGTACTTTTTAAATTACAAATATGGATTAGAAATATTATTACAAAGAACTGTTTTGGTGCAACTTTCAAAATGTTACTACAGATTGTATATTAGACAATTTAAATTCCTTGTATTTAATAATTTAATACTTTTACCATTCCTGTGTAAGAATGTCTTTATTCTTCAGCTACATGATTAATTAAAAGATAAAGACATTTAAGTGACAACTTACTCTCAATAAATTAACCATAAAAACTACGGTATATGTGTATATTAGAGAAAGCAAACAAATGTGGCCAGAGGTTAGCACATGACAAATTTAGGTAAAGGACAAACCAAAAATTCCTTATTCTCATGTAATATTTCTGCAATTTTTCAAATCAAATTTTTAATCAAGATGATCAGTGCAATAGAAAAAGCAATAAATAATGGTGACTGGTAATTTAGTTTAAAATATTTTAAAAAGATGAAGCACAAATGATGAAATATTCAGTTAAAACTAAGTGATATGTATGTACATGGGTGTTCGTTATATTTTTCTTTTATAATTTTAAAATACTGTACACTAAGCATACTTTCAATTTGGCACTTTTGAGGTATTTCTAGATAATGCAGAGACTATAACTTTTTAAAATTAACTAACATCTGAGTAGTAGGGTGATGGCGCATTCCTGTAATCCCAACACCTGGGTGGCTGAGGCAGGAGGACTGCAGTGAGTTTGATGCCAGCCTGAGCTACACTGTGAATTCAAGGCCAGCTTGAACTAAATGGCAAACCTGTCCCAAAAAACCAAACCAAACCAAGTCCACTGAAACCAGAATCATCAAAATAACACTAACCAAGGATGACATATTTCTCCTCCTTTTAAGAGACAAAGGTAATTTTTAAAACTTCATGTTTTTCTTAGTTCTCAACACTTTTTAACCTAGTAGCTTTTCGGGAATCTATCATTTTACGTTCTGCTCATAAAGATAAGAGGGATTTCTGCCATCTTAACGTTGGATATATATTTTTTAACCCAAATTTAAAAATTAAAAATACCTCCTGAAACTTTCTGATAGTAGGTTGGATTTTCTAGAATATAAACTCAAGCATATACTCAGCTTGTAGCTGATGGATGGGACAAAAAATTAAGTCTTAAAAACAGTTCAGCATGACACAGGCTCAATAAAATATTTTGCAAAATATTAATCAGATGTAATGGACAAAGGGCAGATATAGGCAATTCATACAGAAATACAAATAGCCTAAAAAAGTTCAACTTTATTAATAAATGCAAATTAAAACAAGTGAAAATCTTTTTATGTACCAGGTTGATAGAGATCACAGTAAATGGCAACAGTTCTGGCCAAAAGTGTGCAGTAAGAGTGCACTTATCAACTATCTGTGGAAGTCTAATTTCCTATCATTTTTATGAAGAGCAATTTGGTAATTGTACTATTGAAAATATTTGTTGATATAGGAAAAAAATCTAGTATGACTTCTAAAAATATAACTGAACCTATGTAGACATAAATTTGGAAGATCTTTACTACAATTTTCACATCAATTTCACTGAATTATGAGTGGAGAAGATTTTTTTCCCCTTTTTGCTTTACATGTATTTCCTATTTTTTTTCTTCTGATTAGTTTAGATAAAAGCTTTTCAAAGAAGAGTTCAATGTTGTTATGGCAATATGGTACTATCTACCAAAATTAAAACTATATATACCCTTTGACACAGTTCTAGAAGTTTATCTTAGAGATACAGTTGTTAAAGAAAACAAAAAGAGGGGCACTTTGGTTAACTTTATCAATTATTCATAGCTTATTTACACTGTGTACCAAGAACTAACCACTACCGAGAAAGATGAAAAGCTGCACTGACCTCTTTGAAAAGAAATAGGAGACTTACTTCAACAGGTAATGGAAAACCTGAATGAGAAAGATATAAAACTATATTATATGGATATTTAATTGTTAGTTTGTGATAAGTGTAAAAATTGATAACTCACACTCAGATTTGAAGTTTTCTGCTTTACAAACAGGATCATGGCATTTTTGATACCAAACTTCATTTTTCAGATCAACAACAATCCTTCATGTAAAAAAAAAAAAGAAAAAGTATTAAGTCCATACCAACTGGAAAACAATTTAGTTATATGCTGTCTATAAGCATTAAGGATGGAGAAAAATTAAAAAGTAAAAGGACAGAAATAGATACACACTAACCAAAAGCAAACTACTTGCTAGGAATTGCACACAAAATGGACTTCTGGACAAAAAAAGATACTGGCAAAGTCCCCCCTTCCCACACAAACACCAGAAAGATGCAGTTCTCAATCTGTACCCACCAAACAATAGGGTCAAATCATGTAAACAAAATTGATAGAGCTAAGGATAAACCAATATACCTGTAAAATAATCTAGCATAAATCATGATTTTAAAAAACAATCTATAAATTGAATAAGCACAAAATGTTACAGAATGCAGAAAATATGAATAAAACAATATAAAAGCAATTAATTAAATTTGATCTCTGCACACATGACACAGCTATTTGTAACTATATTGACACCAATAATAAAAATCCAGGGCTAGGGATGTAGCTCAGCAACACTACATCTGCCTGGCAAGCACAAGGTCCTGAGTTTGATTTCCAGTACCAACCAAACCAAACAAAAAGCTGACTCTACAATATGAATTATATCAAATTTAAAAATATGAATTCATGGGGGACACAGTCTCTGACCACACGGAAAACTTTACAAGTAAAAAGCTAATAGAAACCCATAATTTGAAAATTTCTAACCAGTTGCTCAAGATTTATGGAAATCAAATTACTTGAATGTAATTAAAAGTTATACCTACTAAATTATGTGAAATGCAGCTCAAGTGATCTTTAGAGGGAAATGTATAGTTGCAAAAGTTCATGTTAAAAAAGAATGGGCTAAAGAAATGAATTAAGTAACCAACTTGGAAAATTAAGAATAAACCTTAAATTTGAAAATGAGTAATAGAATAAATTTTAATAAAAGACAGGAAATAACAAACAGAAAAAACTTAAAAAGAATTAAAGCCAAAATTTGGAGACAAATTATTGTAAGACTGAACAAAAAAGGCAGATACAACTTTTAGAAATTAAATGCAACATACAATAAAACTAATATTCTCAATATTTGCCAGTAACTGAAAATTTTGATAAAGTACTAAATAAAAATTAAGCAAACTAACTGAAAAACAGGAAAAAACCAACAAAAAATAACCACCAATAATAAAATTCAAAAACTAGATTTCACAGAAGTGGAAATGCAAAATGGCTAACACTCCCCATAGTAACTAGAAAGGTAGATGGTGGGCAGGTGATGATCGACCTGTGCCCAGAAAAAGACCCGTGACTTGGTCCAGTCTCTTCTTGTACATGTTTCAACAATAGACACTCCAATGCATGGACTAATGTTACAGTTCCCAAACTGTACACTAAAGTGCCCAGGATGGTGGGATATTTCAGTCTTTCTATGAAACACAGTGATACTTGCTATTCATCAGACACCTGAAAATGCTTGCTTGCAGTTCCTATCATTAATATTACTTGGCACTTCATTCCTTTTAGAGATGTCCTATCTTTGTAAAGCTGGGGGTTTTGATAGCAGTGTGATAAATGTTATTACAAACATCAATGTGGAACACTAAGGGTTGGAGGTGATGGTATCCAATGTGACTCCAAGGTTTGAGGGTTTATGTGATGCCTAAATGGGCATACATCCTAACAAGTTACAGTATTTAGGAATAAATTTAAAATTTTCTTCCAACTTATAAGTATTGCTTTTCAAAGTATCTGCTAACTTATTAGAATATAATTATCAAGTTGTTTGCAAGTAACTAATTAACAGAACTCAGGTATTTTGGCCTTGGAAAATGTGAAAAAAATTACTAAGGTATCAATATCAGAGGCCAAGAACATTTGGCTAGGAGGATAGTCTTTGTTTATAGATGCTCTTTGTAGAATGTTTCTGATTTTAGGACTGCATGTAATAAATAAAACTAGAGCCCAGGATTTGTGAGGCATGGTCACAGGAAATGTCACCCATGCTAGGGAAGTACATGAGTATAAAATACAGATGTCTTGTAACCTCACTGCTGCCTGCTACGTGGTGACCGCTCACTTCCGCCTTAGGTGTCAGCCCGAGTCAGGTCAGCAATGCAGAGAAAGAGGGAATGGCCCTGTGTCTCAGGCCCTACTCTGCTTCACCTGTGACTCCTCACTCCTGCTATCCTGAACATTAATAGTAAAGATTAGTATTAAATCTCTGATTTGTGTGTGATTTGATAATCTAATCTTCAACTTCATTACTAATCACAGAAACAAAATCATCTAATACCTACCAGATCAGCAAAATAAATTTTTAAATCCTCACAACACTAAACTGTTGGTGAGAATATGGGACAGCAGAAAATGTGAAAAAAATGCTAGTAGAAATATAACTCAGCACAACCATTTGTTATCTAGTAATTTATTTAGTGACACATAAATATTCTATGACACAGCAATTCTACCTTTAGGTAGATACTTTGAGCAATTCTTGGACTTGTGTATTAGGCAACCCACACAAGAGGGTCCAAAATGTTGACCCACTGCCCACTGTAGGACAACGGATAAACTAGCATATCACATTTATATAATGGCACACAATAATTAAAAAAAAAACAAAAACACATGCAGTAGCTGTATCCTGTAACATAGACAAACCTCACAAACACAAGGCTGATCAATGAGCAAGCAGAAGGATGCAATTAAAAATGTAAAAAACAGTATATTAGGATTTGGCCCAACAGATGCTTCTAAAGTTTAGTTCCTTAACCCCCCAAATCTCCCTCCCACTCCCCCTCCATAATGGTGATTGAACCCAGGGTCTGTTTAAATTTTGAGAGACTGTCTCACTAAACTGTTAAGTTACCCAGGCTAAGCCTGAATTTGTGATCCTCCTGCCACAGCCTCCCAGACTGCTGGCTTTACCGGCATGCATTCGTTTTACCTGGCTTTGGTTCTGTTTCTAAAAGTGAGTGACAGTTATGAGAGGTTGTCATTTTAGTTGTAGTCCTTGGCATGTACAGATTATATATATATATTTTTTCATATATTGTACATTCCAGTTAAAAGGCAAAATAGATTATGAATCTATAATATAACTTGGTTGTATGTGGTTTGTCTATGTTGCAGGATACAACTATTCCATGTTTTTTTAAAAATTATTATATAGTGTGCCATTATATAAATGTTTATCTGTTGTCCTACAGTGGGCACTGGATTAACACAATAATCGACTTTTTGGAAAGTATGTATGCTTTGAAAAAAGACTAAAAGGATACACCGAAATGATGTTAGTTATAACTAGACTGGGACTATGAGTGTTCTGTCATGGTTTTTTGTTGTTTTTGTTGCTGTTATTTGTGTGTATTGAGCATACAGTTTTTGATGTTTTTAAATGGAATTAATCTAAGTTTAGTAAGGGCAACACTGAATTATGCTACATAACATGTTTTTGAGCTTTCTAGAAAAATCATTTCATGTTTAGCACATGTACTAAATAGGCTTGGTTGTACTGGAAATTCAGCTTTGACACAAAGTATAACAAAATTTCTCGTAACTGTTAACTACTAGACTTCTATCACTATTCTAATCATATTCTTATATCATTTAAAATTCTATTTCAGGCTTTATTTTGTGTTTTACTTCTCTCATTTTACCAGATGGAAAAATTACTAAAACCTAAAACAGGGTCTTATATAAAAAGCAGGCATACAGTAAAAACCAGTTCCCTTCTATACCATGTTTTGTCTTCAGGTTAATATGACCTTAATACTGTCCTGTGAGTTTCCTTTTTGCTCAAATTACCTAATTTCACTTCCCTAAGGCATCAGGGCAGGGCTTTCCATTTTTGTCTGCTCAGCTATCCCTGCTGCCTTCGTTTTAGGCTGCTCCTCAACTGCTTTAGTCTTCCTGAGATTATAATGAGATTATATCATCAAGCAAAGTATGAATACAGCTGTTTTAAGTGCTAGAAGCCACCTAATAACTAAGATATTCAAATCAAATATTATAAAACATTTATCAAATAAAAGTTAAATTTATAACTATGCTAAAAGCAAAATTTTTCTATTTGCAGTTTTCTTAAAAAGTTGTAAACATCTTTTTCATGTATAGGCACAAAATAGCAAATGAACATGAAAAAATGTTCATCATCACTCACCGGTCATACAAGACATGCAAATGAAAACAGTGCTGGTATTCCACTTCACCCCAGAAAGAATGGCTGCTATCATAAAATCCACAAATAACAAATTCTGGCAGGGCTGTGGGGAAAAACGAACCCTTCTCTACTGTTGGTGGGAGTGTAGACTGGTGCAACCACTGTGGAAATCAGCATGGTGATACCTCAAAGAACTAGGACTGTAAGTCCCATTTGACCCAGCTATTCTCCTGCTGAGAAGCTTCCCAAAAGAATGAAACGAATCAGGCTGGGGAGGGATTTGGCTTGGTGATTCCACCACCTGCTTTCAATAATTGACTATTTGATATTTTCTGTGTTACTGTTTTACTTTAGTAGTATAAAAAGCACTTCACAAACTGAAGACTGATATACCTTAGGGATGCTTCCAGACAGTCATGTCATATCTGTTGGGTAAAGGAAGCCTATTTTTCACAAATTTTTGTTGTAATGAATACATATGAAATTTTGTTTTCGTTGTTTACTTTTTACACCTGTAAAAGAGTCCAGTACCTCTCTACTGTGCAATTACATAAGAGGGAATGAACGAGTTCATAAATATATTTAACATCCATGCTGACTTGGTTAACTCCAGTTATGACACAGGGATAGACAAACCATGGCCTGTGGACCAGTTTAGATCTGTGACTAGGTTTTATACAGCTTATAATTTAAGAAGAGTTTTTACCTTTATAAGTGGTTGGAAAAATAAAAATAGAATATATGTTGTAAAACATGAAAATTATATGAAATTCAAATTTCAGTGTCCAAAAATAAAATTTTATTGTAATGTTAAAAAAAAAGATATATTATGTATATTATGTAAAGGTACAAATCTCCAAGGATGAATATCACTCTATTGTATACCTAAAATGTACCAATAAAATTAATGAAAAAAAAGTTGTAAGCATTTAAAATGTAGTGTCAGTTAAATACAAACAAATCATCAATAAACAATATTACTTACATGATATTATTACTCTTGTGAGCTCTTCCAATATTTTGACACCAGCGATATTTGCAAATATCATAAACCAGTAATTCTTCTGGGAAAAAGTAGTTCCAACGCCGAATTCCTAAAATACAAAAACTGTTTCTAAAGGTACCTGTCCTCTACCATATGAGAATTAATAAAGAATACGATTAGATTTACCTCCTTTAATGTCATTTTTAGTCACCAAAGAAAGAACAAAACAATCAACTTCAGGGTACGGTGAACACTGAAAGCCTTCGATGGTTTCTATTGCAAGAAAGAATTATAGACAAAAATTAGCTAAAAGATGAAACTTAAATTTCTATTATATTGTTGTTTGTACAGTTAGGGCTTTTGCAACTCCTCAGCTTTTTTCCCCCTTTTCTCATTTGCAATTTGTCTTCCTGTCAGTTCCTGAGTTCTTGCTACCCAACCAGGAAGTGGGTAAGATTCAAATCTCAATTAGGCCATATGTTGACTAATTTTCATTAAAAGCCTCTAGACAATTTTAAGTGTTTTCTTCACTCTGACAAAGAGAGAAGCAGCCGCTCACACCCTGGAGCTGCTGAGCCTTGCTCTACCGGGAAGGTCCTGTACTACCATGAGCTGGCCTGGCCTTAGTGTTCTGCTGCCTAAAATAAGTGACTTTGAAGAACTTCACCATTAGATAAGACCATGCTGCAGCCATGAGGATTCAAGAAAAAACAGGGCCCCTCTGTAATCGTATCTGAACAGAGACAAAACACAAACATTTTACAAAACCACAAGAACGGGCAAACATCACTCCTCATCTGGCTAACAGAAGTACCTGTTACTGCTTTACTGAGGACAGCCTAAGTCTCCTTCTAGTTCTGCCTTTGTCTACACAAGATTTACTAAGATAACAAGTCACAGAACTGGCCGTGGCAACATCCAATTCGGAACAAACCCATGCTTCCTCGTACACTCCCACGGATCACTGCATCCAGGCCCCAGTCCACCCTCTCTGAGGACCCTGAGGTTCACTGCTTTGTTCAACTTGTGCATCCTGTAGTCTCTAACTGTAGGGCACTGGTGCCTCAATTTTACTTTGTACCTACCCATATACTGTAACAATTTAGAATGATCTATTTATAATTAATTTGTAAAAATAAAAGAAATCTAGTTTCCTTAAAAGGAGGTCTATATTTCACTTGCCTGGAAATACATGTTAAATAACTAGAAGAAAATTAATATATAAGTGAATGTTACATTATTTTTAATAGCTATGTGAGATACCATACAATTTTAGAGCCTACTTTTCTCTGTCATAAAGGGTGTCTTCCACATTACCCAGGCATTACAAATCTAAATGGCTATAGTGTTTCACAGTATGTAAATGATATATCAAAATATATAAATAAAAACACACACTGAAGAGTTTATGTAAGAAATCTTAGAAAAACTCTGCATACTCTTTAGTGCAGTAATGAATAAATTATGATAAAGTCATACCATAAAACATTGCAACCATTAAAAGAATGTGCTCTCCCTGTACTAGAAAAGCAGGAAAAGCTTGTCTAGGTTAAATAAGAAACTACTATAGTGGTTACCTACCTTTGTGGAAATATGTGTAAAAAAGAACATGTACCTTTTATTTTGAAATGTATTTATTTTATACAAACAACATATAACTTGTATTAAATACTGTAAGAAAAATTAATGAGTAATATTTTCATAAACATCTTTTGTTTACAGTATTTTCATCTTGGATAGAAACCTAGGAATAGTTTCAAATGAGCCATAATATGAATACTTAAAATTACCTATACTGCTGGTACTCTTAACACGCTCAGTTCGCTTTCGTTTATTCTGAGATGTGTCACATGTAAGAATCCGTAAAGAATCTGAAAATCTGAAGAGGGAAATATATTTTATATTAGAATTAAAATGGCATGACTATAGAGAGGAAACTGAATTCTAAAGAATTCCATTTTTATGCCACATTTGCCCACAAAAGCACCATGCCTATCATTAAAAAAAAAAAGATAAAACAGGTATGACGGTGGATGCCTATAATTCTAAGACTTAGGGGCTGAGGCAGGAGGATTGCAAGTTCACACCCAGCTACATAATAAGAATTTGTCTCAAAACACAAAACAAAAAATATAATTTGCAAATTAAATAGACTGATAAACCAGTTGTGACACATGCCTGCAATCCAACAACTCAGGAGGGTGAGGCAAGAGGATTACTGTGAGTTTGAGGGCAGCCTGGGTTATGTAGCAAGTTCAAGGCCAGCCTGAATTACAGGGCAAGATTATGTCTCAAAAAAAAAAGATTGGTGATCATTTAAAATACTTTCTTCAATCACAAAATGAATCTGAGGATTTTAGAACTACAACATTAAGAATATAACTATTCGGGAGCCATCCCAACCCAGCCACCACTGCTCCAGCACCGGGAGGCAGCCTGGGCCCCGATCCACCACGGGAAGGAGAGCCACGCCTTCTCCCTCCCCAGTCGCCATTGCTCCAGTGCCAGGAAGGTAGCCGCATGGGCACCCCTGAACCCCCATAAGCCGCCCCCCCACTCTCAGACCTCCTGACTGCCAGTCTTTGGACCCACTCTGCAGAGGCAGAAGTGGTCATCAAGGGTATTTTTCTGAGTTCCCAACTTTGAACATCTTTAAAGAAAGGGCGGCGGAAACCTGTAATAGAACGTTGTGGAGTTCAACCATTCAGAAGGATGGGGAACTCATTCTGGGCCTTGCAGCCCAAGGTCATTCAGCATCATGGGGTTCAGCAATCAGCTAACTGAGATCAGGGGTCTTCCATCCTTGCTCTGTCTGAGCCATTAAATGGTTAATATACTATACTGAAAAGTTTGTTCACTGCAGACATGTTCTGGACTGCTTCTTGATTTCAATTTAATTCAAATGATTTAAGGGTGATAGACTAGTGACTACCACCAGTGGTCAGTGTCCAAGTTGTGCTTGATCTTAATGTGTTGCTGATTGTATCAGTTGGGATAAAGCATTTAGTTGATTGGATGAGCTGTTTTCTCTGATGTTATGAAGATGAGAATGTCTGTGGGTCGTTAGAGACACAGAAGCTAGGGCACAACTATATCAGGAAGATTTGGGTGATAATCCAGAGATAAAACCAAGGACAGTCCGACAATAAAAATTAAAATGAGAAAACACTTAAGCAAGACACAAGGAAAGACTTCCAGTTTACCAATGGCAAACAGTAGGGCAAATGAGGATGAAAAGGCCAATAGTAAACCACCAGAATACCCTGAACTCAAAGCACAGGAAGTAACAAAACAGATCAATCGGGCTCTAGAAAAATTCAAAACAAAAACAATTTCCCAGATAACCATAGAGATAGTGAGCAAAATGGAAGTCGTGATTCAAGACTCTAGAGCAGAAACTGACAAAAAAAATAGATGAGCTCAGGACAATGATAGAAGCCATGAAGGCCCAGCATAAGAAAGAAATGGAAAAAATAAACACCCAACATAGGAAAGAAATGGAATCCTTAAAAGAGATTCAAACAGACATCCAGGAGATTAAACACTCCATTGACAGTGTACCGCAACAGAATAAAAGAATGCGAAGATAGACTCTCAGATATAGAAGATAAGATTGCAGGCAGTGACCATGAAAAGAGAGGTCTTTTAAAAACAGTAAGAGATCATGAGAAATCGATCCAACAACTCCTAGATGATGCAAAGAAGAATAACATAAAACTGATAGGAATACATGAAGTAGCAGGAGAAAATACAAATGACTTTAAAAAGCTCTTCACAGAATTAATAACAGAAAACTTCCCAAACAGAGGGGAAGAATTT